CACACACACACACACACACACACACACACACACACACACACACACACACACGTTTTTAGATAGGTAGGTAGGTAGGTGGGTAGGTAGGTAGATAAGGATGACAGGTAGTCCTCAACATACGACTTACAAAAAGAAGTTCGTAAAATGCAAGCTCACTTAGCGACTGTCTCGCTTAGCAACAGAGGTTTCGTTGTCATACGTCGAGGACTGCCCTGCAGTATTTATAGGTTGTGTCTTTTTTTATAGGCATGGAGTGGATACCCAGCAAATACCGGGCTATCGTTGGCACCATCAACGGTTACAGCTACACGACTGGGCAGTTCATCCTGGCTGGCATGGCGTATCTCATCCGTGATTGGCGCTGGTTGCAGCTGGCCGTCTCTCTCCCTTACTTCGTCTTCTTCCTCTACTCCTGGTAGGTTCCCCTGGAAGCTTTCAAGAAGAGACCAGACTGCCATCTGTCAGAAATGGTGTAGGGTCTCCTGCTTCGGTGGGAGTGGGGGTTGGACTACATGACCTATGAGGTCCCTTCCAACTCCGTTAATCTGTTAGGTTGGCAGATTAAAAAAAAAAGCCTTCTATTTTCTTCACTGGAATAGTTTTCATTTTTAGGAATGGGCAGGGGAAAAAAACGTTTTCTGCTTTACCCTTTCCTTTGTTACATTTACTTTATTTTATTTTATTGGACGATCGCACCGCAGTCATGCCAGAAGTACATAATGTGATGGTTAACTTCCTTAGATATCAAGTTATATCATCAATCCCATTGCAATTTTCTGGTTTTTATCTTAACTTAATGTTTTATCTCATATAGTGTACTGTCCACATCTCTCTCTCTCTCTTTCTTTCTCTCCCTCCTTCCCTCCCTCCCGCTCTGCGTATTCACTTAGCTTTAGCTAACATCGTCAGAGTGGAAAAACCATTAAAGAGATATCTGCCTTTATACACTATTTCACAATTACATTATAACACTCTGACGACGTTAGCAGAGGCTAACGAAAGTTAAGTGAGCAATATATTTTAAGTTCCGGAGGTTGCAATGTCTGTTTCTTCTTTTATAACTACACCTGGAACTTGTATCTTTAGGATAATTTGAGATATATAAATCTCAAATGAGATAAAGTTTAAATAAAACACACACACACAGACGCACAAACACACATGTTTTATTTAAACTTT